GCCTGATTCCGCACCAGAGGAATACAAGAAACTTGCCGAGCGGTGTTGTGATGCTGATCCTGATAAGCGTCTAGATGCATATTCACTTTTGGATGATATTGACGAGCTTGTTGAAGAGGTGAAAAACGACAATTCTGACATATGGAATGCCGTTTATCATAATGATGTAAAACCATTATCACGTTTCGAGAAGGAGAGTAAATATTCTAGTACACTCTTACCTACTGGAGATCTGCCTAAACCGAGAAATAGCTATGTTTTGGATTCAGCTGCAGGTATGAGGACAACAATTGGTACAAATAAAGTCAATTTACAATATTAACACCGCGGCGCATTTCTTATAATTTAGATACTCAAACTCTTTTTTGAATAAACTTGTAATTTGCGGTTTATTTACAGTGTATTTAAGTGAAGCTCTTTTCTTTAAATATGAATCGCCCGTTCGAATGAATGTAGGTAAAGGCATCATCGACGATGACGTAACCACGTAGATAAGGGTTGTTTTGCTGCAACCACTTACTATAGCAACGTAATGATGGATGATACCAGCGATTGTTTGGTTCAGATAAATCTCTTCGATTCTTTGAATACCCCATTTGACCAGTGAGTGATCTGTATTCTATAAAAGGATTGGCACTAGCAGAGCAACCCAGACTGGTGTGTAGAAAAATGGGAGAGAGATATTTTCTTTTGGCATAAGGAACGTCTTGAATACATTCGGGTATTGGAGCAAGTGTATGTACAAGGGAACAAAAGTATTGCACACTTTTATATTTATAATATTGAAAAAAAAAAATTAAAAAACTAAATTTTGTACCGTCTACTGTACCATTCGTCTCGCTAAATGTAATGTTTATTTTAATAAAACGGGTAAAAAAATTAACAAAAAAACCCTATTTTTTACCTTGGCGCGCATAAATGAGTTTCGACAAAGCGCTTACTGATTCTCAAAAAGTGCAACAAAAACTAGTTTACAATGATGCAGCCTAATCAGGAAAATTTCCGCAAAAATGATCGCATTCTCAATCAGTGGAATCGACAAAAATTGAAAACCGCTGTTACTGCGAACAAAAAACACGACAAAAATCTGAGAAATTACTAAAGCAATTTCTTAAGTTAAAAACCGACGAATTTCCACAAGAACACTTCACCATGCACTTCATAAAGAAAATGTACGTTCGTGTATTCCTTTAAAAAAGCCTCTCATCTCAGAAAAAAATTGGGAAAATTCGACTCGAGTGGGCAATGGAAAGGAAGGAATTGGACTGTGGCAGACTGGAAGAAAGTCATATGGTCGGATGAATCTACTTTCTCTCAGTTGCGGTGACACTGAAAAACGCAATCCTCAGCTTTCAAATGTTCCCAAACTTGAGATGGAGGAAATACTAGCTATTGACGTTTACTTTAAAACTAGTTCGTTGAAATAATCGAGTTAACAATCCACTCTCTTCACATGATATGATCATTATACAGCTACATGTACTGCTTATTCTAACAGTAAAAGTTTGATTGCGTAGTCATTCTTTACAGAAACTTGCATTTTTTAAAAATGTTTCGATGAGATTTGCAGGACGTTGTGCTGATAACCATGTGACATTTACAATCAGAAAATATTGCGATCTTGTCACAAGATTCTGCTAGATTGTTCAACTTCGCAAAATTTCCATGCATCCCCGAAATCTCGTGGGCATACACTAAAATTAGAATCCCCATGGTGATCTTATTCTGATGTCACAGAGAGACTTATAAAAACTACAGGTTTCTGTAAAATTAACTAACATTCTTTATGGACGATGCCAGTTTGTCGATTTACTCAACTTATCTCTGACGATGCTACCTATTCTCTGAACATGTGTATAATAGCAAACAAATATCTGTGGGACATTTAGTAGATAAGTGATAATCATATTACATTTCGTTTTGACTCGCATGTCCTGTGACAGCAACACAAAACGTATATGGCTCTTGTTACAAGGATATGATAATACTAAGACGGTGATATCACCATAAGATCTGTGTAATATTTACGAATGACATGATATCATCAGGATCTTTCAAAAAATCCCAGTGTACGAGAATTCTAACGGTCGCACTAGTAGTACAGTAATATTGTATATTCCATAAATCTCATAACATTTTTAAAAAACACAAGTCAGTGTCAGACAGTAAGCCATTGTACAGAAACATTATAATAAACTAGTCGAAATCCAGAAGACTAACACATGTTCTCAACCAACCCAAGCGATATTAATATATGAATCTACAACACATCCAGGGAAAGAAAAAATAAGTTCAGAACGCTTAACCAAGTGCTTCAAGTTGCCGTCGCTGCTTGTATAAATACCACAATGAATATATAGATGCATCTGATTATCTGAGGTCATGTATTATGTAGCAAAACCATTCACTCCTGAACTCGAATCTGCACTGCATATCATGGTGTGTGCAGAGCTTGGTGAAACGAGACTGGGCTTTGTGTTCATTCTTTATTAGAGTTGATGCCCTGAGCAGGATGCCTGACATTTGTATGCAAGGCAAGAAAAAGACTCCCAATGAATTTCTGATCAGCTATAGATAGATCTTACTTTAAATAATCCTACTAAAGCTCGATGTATTTTTGGAGAAAGAAATTTCTTTCGTTAGTTTGAAATGCTGAATTATAATATGACGCGTAAATTTTGCATCTGTGTAAAGTACCCTGTCTGTTCGGTAAGCGCAAAATTTCTGACGTAAAACTGTTTTATCAAAGTAGTCTCTGAGACTATTGTACTATGTTGTCCACACTTTATAAGATACTTTCAATTAATTTTATACACGTATATCGAGTTATTAACCTGACTATCATTGTATTTATGTAAAAATGTGATCAGAAACATTGGCTATGAAACAAATGAAGTAAAAAAGAGTTTTTGATTTCTTAAGAGAGAAAGATATAATAAGATAATCTGATATTAATACAAAAAACTACGTAAATTAGCCCTTTTTAAATACACATGAATTAAACACATTCCCCCTCTTTACATTAATCGGTTGCTTGCTCTATTATCTTTCTTGATCAGCATATAACTGCGGTGCCGTATAAACAGACGACGTTGGTCGAAGGTCATTATCATCTGTATCCACATTCACCATTGTATGACTTTGATCGAATTCAGGCATTGGTTGAGCCAAATATTGGTCATATCCTTGTTGAGCTGGTTGTGATTCGACCTGAAAAGCCTGTCTCTCCGGTGCGTATGTGTTGGGTCGGGAAGAATAATAAGAATCTGAACGTGAAGATCCCGAATAGGCTTCAGGTATAGACGTGGACGGAATAGGCAAACTTGCTACGGTTTGGATTGGTATTTCCGGCGTTGTTTTTGTACTAAATCTGTTGGCTTCATTTCCGTTCCCACCACCAGACGCTCCGTTTAGTCTGCTCACTTTCTTCAAGTTTAAACGTGACAGCCAAGCGCTTATTTTATCTGGACATTCATTCAACCCATCTAAATATGCTATATCGACTACATAGTCTTGCATAAACTGTTCCAATGAGTTTAATCGGTTTTGCAATTCTGTTAATTCTGTTGATTCTGTTGTCTTTTCTGATTGGAATGATGAATCTGGCGATTCTTCGGAGGATTCTTTAAAGGATTGAAACGGAACGACTGGTTTGAATGATTTATGTAGCTTTGAACGTGTTGATCGAATGAAACAACAGCAATAAAACTGGACACAACCCCATGGACGTATCGTGTCTCCTCCTAATGAAGGAAAATGAGATGAAGAGCGTGTGGATGAACAAGCAAGAAAGCATATAGTCAGGAATTACCTAATAGGAAGGCATACACTCCCACAGCTATGCTCCATATACCACCAAGCAAACCGAATGCACTGAGAACCTGCATAAACGGTAATCATAATATGACATTGATTTAAATATCGGATTTTTCTTGATAATTTATTCCTTGCCAATCCATTAATCTTACCGTGTTTGATCTTTAAATGAATTATCAACGTCCGAGTATAATATCATTCATTAGTAATAATCACCAGATGACCAATAATATGACCCAATCAATCAATCTCTTTCCCTACCTTTGCTCGATCTCAACCTTAACAAGGAAGTTCTGAGGTTTAATCAACATATATCCATATCCAGAAATATCAGCAGGTATTGGTCCACCCTCTATATAGCAAGATGAGTATGAAAGGTTGATCTAGCCATGCATACACTTCAGTCACCTGACTATTCATAAAGCATGTCACTCACCTAACTCAGCAGTAACGTAAGGTATACGAAGAGTACTAGTCGAAATGCCAAAAGCCGACAGCAAATTTTTTTTCAATACTTGTCTCTCACTTTGAGTGTATGACACTATGTACATTTGCCTATTAAACAGACTTGTACTGACGACATCATTAGAGAATTGAAGAGTTCTGGGTCGCTCTTGCTGACTGTACTACGAAGTTGATCATATGAATCATCCGTATATTCTAGTAGGAAAAAAAATTAGATTTTTAGGCACCAGAAACACTTGCAATACACAGCGTAAACTCATTAATTCCGTTGGGACGAACGAATGCGGCTTTACAATACTGATATCCTTCCCAATTAAGCTCATAAAAATTTACCTATGACTGCTCTAAAAAAACTTATGCCGCTGCTGCTATTGTATGTTTGATTATTATTTACAGCATATGATATCCCGAGTGAACCCCCATTTCTTGAAACCACTTTTAAATCAGGTGGAGGAATAACCGTCGTATTGTACTTTCCAGAATTTTTATCTAAGGTAGGCTGGGGGCAATCTGGAATTGGTGCGTTTGTTCTATCTAATAATGATTGATAAATTAGTCATTCAGCATCCAAAGACAAAACAAACACGAATATGTTCAGTCAACTTACTATTATAGGCCAACGTACAGGCAATATTGAAGTTGTGCTCAAACGTTAATGATACTGATGGAAGTCTAAGACTGCTCTCCGTTCTTGACTGTGTTTTCAGTATCGTAACGTTATTGCGTATATTAATTATAAGAAAAACTGTATATGCAACCAATAGAGCAATAATTATGATTATGATAAATTTACGACACATAAGAGTTGCTTTCGACTCGGTCTTTCGATGTCTACGAAATATTTCATCCAATTGCATATTGACTAGTTAAAGTATCTGATCTGCTTCTGCAATATCAATAAAATAGGGGAATTAACCATATACCGTTAGTTTACAAAGGCTTTATATACAAATGACGAGCTGAATGTAAAAACATTGTTTACATCTCATCTCTACATCTTTGAATAGATTATCGGAAATTTACCTGCCAAGTCAAATGTTCCATAAATACGTGAAATAAAAATAGCTGTACGACGTGTCGGGTTGTGCGACCTGGCAGGGTAAATTCCTGATTATTCCCTACCCTTGAATAGATTATCGGGAATTTACCTGCCAAGTCAAATGTTCCATAAATACATGAAATAAAAATAGCTGTACGACGTGTCGGGTTGTGCGATCTGGCAGGGTAAATTCCTGATTATTCCCTATCCTTGAATAGATTATCGGAAATTTATCTGCCAAGTCATACAGGCTCAAATGTTCCATAAATACATGAAATAAGAATAGCTGTACGACGTGTCGGGTTGTGCGACCTGGTAGGGTAAATTCCTAATTATTCCCTATTCTATATATAGTCACCTCGTTTATATACCCTATTATGATACTTGTATTACACAAAATATTATGCAATTTCTATTTATAATCCGTGCCAGGCGTGTACTACCAATTGAATATTATGCCGCTTTTAATAAATTCAGGCCGCATACGGGTTTATACACTTGGTATGGTTTCGGAACTAGTAATACAGAGTCAAATTAAATATCAATTTAATTAATACCATCAAAGATCGCTTACCTCGAAAATAAATAATTCCGGCGTTTGATCAAAATTTTTAACCCTTTTAGTACAATAGTTTTTGACATACTAATACGCTCTAGTTTACCTCTAAATTTGGTAGTATAAACTGTTTCATAACCACCAGATCCAACCTCCTTAATTTTTGTTGTATGTCAGGTTGGAATTATGTCAATTCTAAATTGACATATGTCAGTTTGGAATTTATGTCAATTTGGAATCGACATATGTCAGTTTGAGATAATATATGTAGGTTAGATAAAAATATTATTAAACAGTGTCAACTACATATGTGTACTAATGTTGTTATTTAAAAGTATTGTATGCTTACAGATGAGTTATTAATTGTGTGTGTTATAAGAGTCGCTTGAAGTATTGACTCTAATTTGATAGGGGGATGTCAATGATTGTTTGTATAATTACTAGCAACCATTCGGTTAATGGTGTTAGTATAATAAAAATTTATTCTTAGCTAATGAAACTAAAATTATTATTTTTCAGAATTCTATTTACTAATCGGGAAGAATTAATTTTATAGCGGAACTCACTAAACTAATAATATTTATTCATTATAATTATGCGATACATTTTCTCAAACAATGACAACTTAAATAACGATATCGTAGAAATTTATTTACTATTCAATGCATCGTGTGTTATGAGAATGACAGTTTAAATTACATTTAAGCATAGCTTTATGACAAGCACATCAAGCTGTAGAGCAATTTGTCTTACAATTGCAATTGATCCTTGCTAAATTGATCAACCTTTGCTTGGTGAACAGTTACTGTTTCTTAGGTATAAGTTAGCATTATGGTTAGACTGTCAATGTACGATGATTTGCATTGAAATTATTGGTTGAATTATTGGATAAAAATCCATCGTACGATGGATTTGAAGCATTGAATATGGTTAGACTATAAATATTGATCCGATCGTATGATGATTTGCATTTAGAATGTAAACATGACTATACAATCTGACAGTTAACGAGACTAAAACTTTACGATATTTGATCTTTAATAGTGTAATACGAATGCTTCGATACTTGACATCAGTTTCAAATGCTAAATTCAGACATAATTCATATTTTGATAGTTGAAGACATTTGCCTCTACACTAACGATGACGGAAACATCGAGCCGAGCAAGTTGTCATATGAATAGATTGTCATAATGAAAATGTATGCGGAGGGGAATCATAGATACAATTTAACAACGATGTAATATGGTATAACCATATTTCTTACAGGTTTGTGAAATGCTAGTTTGTCTTCAGTATTTTAACTATAGAACTGTATGAAGTAAATCGCAATAGCAAGGACATGTACCTAATAATGTAATACATTATTCGAATCTAATAAACTTGTCATCGAAAATTTGATTCTCAGATGATTATACACTATATTTGTCACAGGGGGGGGGGGGGGGTTGGATTGTAGTAAGCTCAACTCACTTCTATTTGCTAAACAAATTAGCGTTTGATATATGAGAAGCATGAAATTGAGTATATGATACATTATGGTTAACGCATATAATATGCAATTATTATAATCTTGATAATAAATAATAAAATACGTTGCCTTCAATTCCAATTTGACATAGTGTATGTCAATTATAGATTGACATAAATTCCAATTGACATACAACACTACTTTGTTTAGAAAGTTACTCTCTACAACCAGATTATCGTCAAAGGTCTTTTATTAAACAAATAAGTAAACCGAATGACTCAAGTTTTCAGATTCGGAAGAAAAAGAAGAAGGCTTACTGATGATAATGACGAGTTGCAAGCTCGCGATCTACTTGAAAAAAGTTTTTCCAATTTTGGAGTCCAAGTATATTTGCTGTGAAATGCATTGAAAAGGGTTGGCGAGCTGGAAAATATTAATAGACAACTATCATCAGAAAATGAAGCGCTGAAAAGACTTAGATGGAAGGCTCACTAACGAACAAGATCGTGTAAAGTTGGTAACGGAGATTGCTAAAATGGAACAACGCAATGTATATGTTCGGACCCATTCTAGGATAATCTACAGAAAATTTTTTATCACCGTAACACATATAATGCTAACAGATATTTTATGGGAGGCAATCATTTCGTCGACAATCATTTCACCGACAATTTCACTGACAAATCTTCACCAACATTATTTCGAAGTTATCCTTTTTTGTAGTTAATTGTCGGTGAAATGTACTGTCGGTGAAATGATTGTCGATGAAATAATACGGACCCATATTTTATTGACTATACCAGATATGCAACGCATATGATGATACATTGTATACACCCGAACAAGCAATTTATTTATGTATAGCAAATATGAATTACATAATAATAATAAAAGAACATTAGTGTTTCTAATTAGTT